AGGCGGGGGTGGCTGGCCTCTCCTTCCTACATGGGAAGAGGCTTGGCTCTTGGTGGGATCCTGTTCTTGGGAGGCCTCTCTCCGGCGAGGTCGCTCGCTCCGGCGGAAGGGCTTGGTCTGCTTCGTGGCCTGGTGCCAAGGGGGAAACGGCAGCTGGGCCTGAGGCAAGGAGGGAAACTGCTGCTGGTACTGGTACTAGGAGACCTGATGCAGCACTTGTTGTTGGTAGAGTTGGAACTGCTGAAATTGTTGCATTTGAGCTTGCATGGCTCGCATGCATTGCATTAAGTCTTCCAACTGGTTCGGGTTGGCCACTAGGGGCACAACCGAAGGTTCAACAAAGGTTGCTCCAACTGTGGAAGGGAGTGGAGCGATCGTGGGAGACACTGTGAGAGGCACGTTCAGACTGGGAACTCCGTCCACGGAGAGGGGGACGGTGAACTGTCCAATACAAACAGTGGGAAGTTGGGGTTGCTCCCCAGAAGCATTCTGGCTAGCACCACGGCCGGCATTGCTGGAGGAGGCCATGAATGCTGAGTTTTCAAAAGGAAACTGTAGAAGCTTAGAGGAAGGATTTTTGAAGCGTTTCCCATAGACGGTGCCAAATGATGTTGTGCAATCCGGGCACTCCTATCTGGCTGCTGACTGGCTCCTATCTGGCAACGGACGGCACCTAAGAAGACAGTGAAGAATTCTCGGGGGACTTGCCCGGTGGGAATACTCCGATGCTTAAGTTAGAACGCTGGAGAAAATAGTGAAGAGTGTAAAAAAGGCTAAGAGTGTAGGTCGCGCTAGGTCACTGAGTTCTCGAGGTTAGCTCAAGAGCAAGCTTAAGTAAGATGATTCGAGATCCAAAAATCAGATCAAATCCCCCTCCCCCTCGACTAAGGGGCTCTTATATAAGCGTTCTTGTCAAATCGGGTGTAACCGCCACTGGGCCTCTGTCGCAGCCGTTATTTGCCAGGGCTGCGTAGGTAACCGTTGTAGGTCACTACCCAACTGGATGAGTGACATGTCCCGAGGGGACAGGCACGCCACCATCTGTCGAGAGACGTGGGTGCAGTCTGTTGAATTGGCAGGGACTGCGCCGTCAGTCAGGAAACATGGCGCAGTCTGACGAGTACAGTCTTGTCAGATAGAAGCTTCTTGAAAGCATCGCGTCGCTTAGTCGCAAGCTATCCTGTCGCGAGCTACTTTGTAGCGAGCTCTTTGGGGTACTTTGAGGTGACCCCTCTCAATGTTGCCTTTGGGGCAGTTTTTCTGTCTAAGTGTTGGAGTGAGCTAGTTACCCTAGCTCGCGAGCTGGGATAGACTTGTCTTGGAGTATTACCTTTCAGTAGCTCGGGGGTCCTCGAGCTCGCGTTGTAGCGAGCTCCCCCTATAGCGAGCTATGGCGTAGCGAGCTGCCCTGTGGGCTCGTTACTTAGTCGCGGTCAGGCTATGGTGCTAAGCTGTTGCTCGTGCTGAGTCATGTCCACGTGTCATCGTCTCAAGGGGTCGGGTCAAATCACCCTCCATCATGATATATTACTAAGGCTCCTCCACATCAAGCACTTCAATGCTCTGCGTGACAATTTCAGCACTCCGGTTTCGCTTGAGGGGGCAAGTTAAAGCACTAAATGTCCCCATGTTACCTTGTAACCATATACCCAAAAACTTCTAGCAGTTGTATTGACTACCTCTGTATTCTTGGGATAAATCCCTTCATAAACTCATGTAAAAAGAGACAATTTTAACACAACATTTTAGTTGCAAAACCAATAATTTGAGTTATCTCAGTGGAACTACAGACAAATAAAAAACAAATACATAATCATATTATTATTGTACAAAGAAAACTAGTAAACCCTATCACTATGGAAACAGAATAATGATATTCAGCTGCCAATTGAAAATCCAGCAAAATTATCAAGGTAAGGAAGCAAATGTAACACACCATGTGGATAGCAATTTAAGATGGAATTCATTCCGCAAGAATTAATGCTATAACAAAATTATACAATACATACAATCAAATATGTTTGCACATACATTTCTACCAAAGAAAAATAAATAAATACATCTTTCTTACCAGAAAAGGAAAGGAAAATGAAAACATAAATATTTTGTTATCCAAAGGAAAAACATATGCCATATTATTCAGATATCCACTGAGCAAGAAATTCTTAAAGTCATTAACTGGTATTATTAGTTCAATTGTTTCCTAAACAGAATGACTTTATTGGCAACAACTTATTGGAAACTGACCAAAACAACAGTACCTCAACAACCATGTTAAATGACAAAGAGAATTAGACTTACATTAAGGTATATATGATTAACTCACTATAAGGTATTCTATATAATAAAATGAACAAACTAATTCTCTTGAAAAAGAAAATAATTAGCTACCTTGATAGATCCAAGAAATACTGCCATTCCCTCAGGAAAATTGTGCAAGCTTATTCCTACAACTCATAAAAATAATGAATTCTTCCATTAGACAGGCCTCATACAAGCAATCTTCACATGGCAGAACTGCACAAATAAGTAAGGTCCAATTCCTAACCTATTGTACTTTTCCTTTTTCTTATTTTCCATCTAAATGGTTGTTATCATAATACCTTTTCAGTGGAGCATTACTTTGGGTTAAACTGCACTTTGGTCAAATGAAATATATTAATTAATACCTATTGTCCTTCACCAGTTTCTTGCCACATGTTCTGGCATGCCATTCTGTTTTAACACTTTATTTTAATTGTCATTTTTTCAAATCAATGTAGTTAAGCCTAAGCATTGTAGCCTAGCAAAGCAAGTTGATGTCTAGGTGACAACTAGGCAAAAAAATGAATACATAAATACATATTTTAAAATGTAACCAAACATAAATATTATGTAATTACATGCCAATTATGAACCATTAAAACACAAATTTAGTAAATAATTAAATGACAACTTACAAAATAACTGTTTTTAATAGCCTCCCTTGTTCAAAGGAAAACACACATGCACACAGAGACTAACAGCCCTAACAGCCCTAATTTTTAACTCTACATGTACTCCTACTGACCTAAAACGGTTACACACATGTACACCAATTATATTAAGGGGGCATAGTTAGTTGTTTTCCCCCATTAAGATGGTCACATCTCAACCACAAACCTGGTTGGCCACCTAGGCAATAGGCCTTCAGAACACCTAGGTGGCACTTTAACTCACTAGTTCAAACAAAGTATGTTAATTCCTATTGGATCCTTGACATATCCATTCAATGCCACAGCATTTGGAACAAATATAGTGTGTCCTTGTCTTTTTGTTGCACATGAAGTACCTAACTAGTTGATATAGATGATCCAAAAACCTCTGATAATCTCAAGAGCTCCTTCCCAGATATTTCTGGATAACTAAACCTTTTACATAGAATGTGTAGTTTTAGGCAAGGTTCAAAGTACTGATACAGGACGATATGCCAGTAGGGGCGTATCGACCTGTATCTTTGGCTGTTTTTTTTTTGTTTCTTTGAAACTGGTTCAGAGGGGTTTTTTTAAGGCTACTTTACCCCCTGAACTAGACCAAACCCCAAAGCACCCCCTGTAGGGGCGTATCAAGAAGCCCCCAATGCGATGCGTATCAGCCGATATGCCCTGATATGTTGCAATAATTTGATCCTTGGTTTTAGGGTTACAAAGTACAAAAAAAAAATCATTGACATGCATCTTTCCAATAAAACTTTATTGGTTACATTGACAAAACTAGGGAGGAGGCTTACTGATAACAAAATAAAAGGAAAGGCATACCAATTGCTGTGATAACTCCACTCAGTAAAACTTGGCGGCGGTGCTTTTTCATTAGATCCTTGTCCCTTTCATCATCACTTTTCTAATGCTCCCAACCACATGGCCAAATAAAACATTTAGACATTTTGATGAAAAATATAGGGACATAAATCAGGTTCAATCACATATACCAAGATCCTAATTGGATATTATTAGTATTTGGGTTCCAAAAGAATATATCTGTTGGGTGGCCGTTTGGATATTATTAGTCTTATTTGGGGTGGGCGTGTTAATATTCAGCACAATTTGGCATATGTAGGCCTCTGGGGTTTTAGATCAAGTTTAGCTTCCTGCTTGTACATTTTCCCTTTTTCTTTTTTACTTTCTTAATGCATACTTACCTTTTCTAAAAAAAAAAATTGTCTGTTGGGATCAGATTGAACTCATATGGGATTCAGATATTATGTATCATTAAAAGCTTAAACTAAAAAATGACCAAAGTACTATACCATTAATAAAATACATTTAGATAGTACTTTGATATTATGGAACATGAAGTATGCTTTACATTTCCTTCAAAAAAAATATTATGTATCATGAATAAATTGACTTCAGAATAACTTTTATGAGACCTGAACCTATGACCCTTTAGTAAAAATACATAACTCAAACCAAATTCTAAAATTGCCAAACCGAGATCTTATCAGATCCAATTGGGTGGGTACATAACTTGTATTGACATTATGGGATCAAGTTTTAGATTTGAAATAGAAATTATATTTCAGGAGTAACTAACTGGAAACATGGGAGAAGCTGTCTGACATACCTTTTTACTTTTCACATCTACAGGAGCCAATGTTGGTTCAGGGATGAAACTGACAATAACAGCAAAGAAAATTACACCTGCAAAGAACTGCATGACACATGAACTGAAAATCAATGAAAAAATGGAAAGTAGGTAGATCATGTCTCTGCAGTAATCCATTTAAATTACAAGGATGCTCAAAAGGATAGCTCACCCAAAGATTTCCTTTCAAGAAGCCAATGGAGTTCAGAGCATTATGTGCCAAATCTAAGAAAGATATGCATAGCATAAGACCTGCAGCAAAACCCTGCATGCAGTGTTTGAATTTTAGAGAATGTAACAAGTGATGCAATTAGAAATGGACTTTCATTTGATATTGAACTTACTGACAGAACATGTCTAATCCCAATATGTTGAGACATGCACATGGACGAATTTCTCATTTCAAAACATTCATAGGGGAATTAAGAAAAGTAAGAGAAAGGAGGCTTAAATCTCACTATTATATAAGGGAGGTAAACAGAGAAATAAAATTAGCACATCAACAATGAATGTGAGGAAAAGGATGGACAAATATTTTCCTTAATAAGAGAATTTGCATCACTATAAACTGGGACCTATTCAAAGAATAGTATTCATGTTAACTAACCAATTGGGACTCCAGAGAAACAGGTGGACAGCATTTGTCCAAGGAATAAAATGATTAACCTCACCTGTAAAATCCCAAGAATCTTCATATTGGGAGCCTGATTAATAATTACAAAGAGTGCACCTGTTCCACATCCAAAGTTGTCGTTAGATTGATGAACTGCTTAATGCAATCTGTTATTAGTTTCAAGCATCCATTCTGATGTCACCCAATTGTAAATCAATGAATTTCAATAGACATGTATAAAATCTTTCAGGTTACCATTACATAGGAGTTAAGAATACATTTTTTTTCTATCCTTGATGGCTTTAGAGATTTCTCATGGTTTAGCTTTAATACTACATCCTTCAGCATCCGTTTAACATACAAGTGCATTGCACAGAAAGAAAACATAACTGTCCCTAGAAATGCTTTTATTTTCTATTATTTTATTTTGGATGCAGAAGTGAATAACTATTTTAGGAAAGTGACAAGTAGAGCTAAAGTGCATATCAAAATAAGTAATAGAAGACTGGGTGACAACTTCTCACACTAGATATTAAAAAAACATAAAAATGAAAACGAAAATATATTATGCTGAAAACGTTTGTAAGATACAGCATAACCACTGGAATCTGCTTTTGATTAAATCTTTCTTGAAGTCTATAGAAAAACGTAGTTACTGGGAGATGCCATTGGTTTGCTTTTTTTAACCTTTAAGAAATGGATGCATGGCTTTTCATGTTACAAGTGGTTCAGGAACTTTGAAGATATTATCTCTGGAAATTAAATTCACAACTGCAAGAACTAAATCCTGAAAAATTCTTAGAAAGTCCAAATAGAACCAGTGGGGAGAGAACAATCCTCTAAAATAAGATAAACTACATAAGGGAGATGTTTTTGGGGTGAATTAACATTGGGGAGATATGGACCTTCACTGTCTAAGGTAGAACCAGTGTTTTCAACCATAGGTCAACCTGGCCAGTCAGACTGGTGACCCAGTCACAATCCCAGTTTAGGTCAACCTCTGACTTGCTATATTACAAAGGCCTGGCCAGCAAACCATCAACCTGGACAGTTGAGCCAGTGATCATTCAATGGGTTTCTGGATTTTGTATTAGTTTACATTTTTTGTTTTATATAATAATGATATCATGGGTTGACTCATTGACATTGGACAGTTGAACTTCTGACTTGTTGACCCAAAGGGAAAACCAGTTCAACCTCCAAACCGGCTTCTAAAACACTAGGTAAAATAGGAAAAGACATTATATAAAGGAGATTAAAATATGTTCCAGATAGATCTAGAGCAGAAGAAATAAAATCTTCCATATGGATAAAAGAAATGAAAAAAGAAAAAGAGTAATGTTGTGCAAACAAGATTCCTTAATAGTACTTCACAGTGCACTCCAAAACTTGTTTTTCAAGGGGCACATAGAGGAAGATAAACTAGGCTATTATATAGCCATTAACCATGTATTAACATGCACGTTCTGTTGGAATATTCTGGCCTCCTATTGCCAAAAAAGTAAGCCAACGGTTTGGTCCATATCCAGTCCACCCCTCCCAATACCCAAGGGAGCTGGCATCAACATTGGGTAATAGCCTTATTCTGATGGAGTATTTTAAACCTAAAATATGTTTCAGCATTCTACTAAGGGACTGTTTAATAACGGCTGAAATTTCTAAGCTGAAAGACTTATTGCTTTGTCTTTTAGTTGTTAAAATAATTATAAAATAAAAATTTCAAGGGCATAGTGATTTACCTAACTTCAGTTTCAACCATTAAGGAACCCACAACCTCCTTAAAAACTTGTGCACTAAAAGACAAAGCAATAAGCTCTTCAGTTCAGCATCTTCATCTGTTATCAAATGGCCCCTATGTTGTATGACATTATTATCTTAATTTCTAAATTTTAATAAGGTTTAATTTAAATATTCTTAAAACATTCTTGGTTTTTTGTTTTGAAGGGGACAAATGCCGTGATGACTTCTTTGAGTATGCTCCTTTCACTTCATAACTCATTGTCCCACATTGATCCAATAGAGAGAAAGAAAGAATTTTCAAGCTTAAAAGATTACTAATCTCCTTCAACTATTGTTGTACTTTTCTAGGTGCACCTCCAGAAAGATGCTTCAGTCGAACTTGAATGGCTGCAGACAAGGGCTTGGGCTGACTTTGCACATTGCATTTAGCCAACTGTGGTCTTTGGATGCTCAGCAGATGTAAGGCTGCATTTTGACTCTAGAAGGCTTAATTCTAGGTCCACCTGTGGGCGCTCAGACTTGGTTAAGTCCAATTCTTGTTGGGGTAGCCTAGACTTAAAAAATCTTCACTGGGTCAATGAGGCAGACAAGGGCTTGGACTGACTTTGCACATTGCATTTAGCCACCTGTGGTCTTTGGTTGCTCAGCAGATGTAAGGCTGCATTGTGACTCTAGAAGGCTTAATTATAGGTCCACCTGTGGGCCCTCAGGCTTGGTTAAGTCCAATTCTTGTTGGGTGGCCTAGGCATAAAAAACCTTCACTGGGTCAATGAGGCCTGTCTTGCAAAATTAGGATGGAAAATATTAAATGACAGTCAAAACCTTTGGATCCGTGTAGTCACGCAAAAATATTTAATATCTAACAATTTCTGGAATGCAAAAGTTAAAAAAAGATTCTCTTGGGCATGGAGAGGAATCCTTAATGCTAGATCCTTATTAAAGAAGGGCACTGGATGGATTGTAGGTGATAGTAACAAAATAAATTTTTGGAGAGATAGATGGGCTGATTCGGCTCCCTTAGTTGAGCTTTTGAATAAAGACTCCTTTGGAGAGGAAAATGATTTCCGAGTGAAGTCATCAACCATGAAAGGATGGTTTGGAAAGAGGATAAAGTTCGAAACTTAGTTCCTATACATGTTTGGAATAAAATTAAACCAATTTTCCTCCCTCATCCAAATAAGGATAAGATGATTTGGAGGCTGGACCCTAAAGGAAATTTTTCTATTAAATCTGCTTATAAAGAGACAAGTGTGATTGAAAGGGGATAAGGAGGGCCTAACATAGTCCTTAGTAGGATATGGGGTCTTCGGGTTCCTCCTAAAATCCAAGGCAATATCAACACATGCTGATACGCCGGTAGGGGTGTATCGGCCTGTATCTTTGCTCATTTTTTATTTTATTTTTTTTTTATTTTTCTTTGAAACTAGTTAAGAGGTCGATTTAAGGCCGGTTTACCCCATGAACTAGACCAAACCCCGAAACATCCCCTGTAGGGGCGTATCAAGAAGACCCCGGTTACCCACTAAAATCAAGACTTTTATGCTCCTTCTCTTGAGTTCCTGGTTACCCACTAAAGCTTTACTCGTTAGTTGTTACTAGAGGAGTTCCCATCAATGAGGATTGTAGTATCTGTGGTTAGAATTGCATCTTAGCTAGGCAAGTTTGGCTAGCCATTAATTCTAGCATTATAGGCCCAGAGGAGAATGATTCTTCAATCTTAGATTGGTGGAATAACTTGAATAAGGATAGCAGAGTGGAGTAGAAGGGCCTATGGCCCAAGAAAAGAGTAGTTTCATTCTTTGGTTCTTATAAAAACAGAAATGGAAAAACATTCCAGAACCGGTACTTTCCCCCTTCTATCATCATAGAGAGGGCTTTGCATTTTTATTTGGAAACAAAATCTTGCAATGCCCGGGACACAAGTCTTGATAAAAGAAAATTATGGAGACAAATTAGATAGAAATTCCCTAGAGAAGGGACCATTAAAATAAATTTTGACACCTTGAGGGATGATAATGGGGTATGCTCAATTGCATGTATTGCCAGGAACCATTTGGGGGATGTGCTTGATGCCAAAGCGTATTCTATTGGATTGACCATGATAAATGTTGCTGAACCTTATTTCAGAAATCATTTTATAAGTATTGAAGGCAATTCGCTCCTTGTGATCTCTTTCTTGAAGCGGCAAGTCGAAGTTCCATGGAGATTGAAGACCATTATCGAAGATTGCTTGAGACTGGTTGGGTGGCTGCAGTGTTGTGTCTCTTATTCTCACTCTTTTAGGGAAGCAAATCAAGCTGCGGATTGGTTGGTGCTTCAAGCTCATTCTTTGTCCTTTAGCCCCCTCCCCCTCAACTTATTTTCACTCCCTGGTGCTCTTTTGTGTATTTGTTTGAGTGATGTCTAGGGCTGAGCTACCCCCTACCTTGTGTAGATCCTCCTATTTCTACTAAAAAAAGAATATCTGTAGACCATGGCCATTTAATATGGTTGCTTCTCAACATGTGATCCATTCCTCAGATGCCCTCTTATAGTCTTACTATATGAGAGAAAAAAAAAAAAGAATTCTGAGTCCAACCGAAAACTGAGAGAGAAGATCTAAATATAATGATCCAAAGACCCAAGGCCAAAAATCTGAACCCCATATTTGTTCAAGCATTTAAGAAATGTCAAGAACACAAAACTAGTTCTTGCCCATCATCCCTTCCTTAGGCTGCAATCGAATTGTGAACTGTTTCATCAATTCCCTCTTCTCCATCTTATGAGGTTACCTGAACTAAAGCAAAATCTGCCAAAGTTCTCTTATACCAAGAATGAAAGGTCTATATCTGCTTGGTTTCATGAAGAATTTCTTCTAAGTTGCTCAATCTACTTCTGGACATTTAATTATTTAAGGTGTACCTCATGTCAAGATATGCACAACTTCTCGACAACAGGAACAAAGTCCAGCTTGGTTGAAGCTCAAGGGTAGCATAGCCAGTAGCCACAAACATTGCACAACTTCTGGAAAGCTCCAATTGTACCAAAATCTCAGCTTTGAGAAATTCACCATCCGCTTGCTTGTGGTTGAGTCGAGCTGCAACTAAAGACACAAGAAGACTTGCTTTTGGATTTACTAACATATCTTTTATTCATATAATATTTTTTGAGCAAGGGTAACAGGAATTTCATTACATCTCTGTTTTTTATGAATATAAGTTTTTAGGATGCTTTTAATTGGTCTTATAATTGTCTGGCTCATTAACTTGAGAAGACCTTCTCTGTCTGTAAGCACAGAGTTGTATGGGATTCTGTCCCTTCCGAGTATATTTCATTGAGTTATCCAATAAGAATGAAACAAATTAATTAATTATGAAAAATTAGTTTGGCCATTGTTTGTCAACATACTCCTCACAAATTAGAACAATTGTGATATCCAAGATAGTTGGGATTAAGGCTGAATTGGGTTGAGCTGAGCTTGTTCAATAATGGTATATCAAGGTCTACTTCTGTGGTCCTATCAAAACCTTCACTTGATGCAAGTTTACCAGATTATACTACCTGAATACGGATTACCTAAGATAATTCAACAACTTATCAAATACTCAAGCTAAAACAAAACACAAGTGACTAATACCATATTCATTTACATAAGAATTAGTCCCAAAGAACAAACAGAAAAAAAAAAAAAAAAAAAAACGCCTAACCTATCCAAAAACGGAGCAAGCAAGTAGCGCTCAAGACAACAAAAATAAAAATTAATAGTACGCCCTGCATGATGAAATACCACCACCCTACCAGTCAAAATTTAGCAAGAAAATTAACAAAAGTAATTTCTACGCAGATGTCCAATTTGCTTACGTTCGAAATAACACAAAAGCTATCAAATTATCAGGTCATGCATTTAGAAAAAAAAAATAATGTATTACCCATTTAGAATCTCCACACTCATGCCACAGCCAAAAAAAGAAAGAATCAAGTTCAGAACATAGTCATGTGGCTCAAATTCACAACTCAAAACGAACTGACCCTCTTCACTGTCATACCTATCGACGTGCTTAATCCACCAACGAGGGAGAGAGCAAGAGCGATCATAACCTGAGAATCCATGAAAGCTCGTACTCGAAACTAAAACCACTGTGATGTAATCTCCGAACAATTCAAAAATCAACCCGCAGGAACAGAGAAGAAGGTGGTCTGTTGTGGCCTTCTGGATGAAAAGGCTACGAGAAAAAACGACGCAGAGCACCGATGAAAGGCTCGGGATTGAGTGGGTAATTTGGCCACAACCACCGGTCCACCACCACAGCACAGACCTAAACGATTTAAATTCGTCAATATTTAAGCTGTCTCAGCCTCTCGGCCTGAGAGAGAGACTGAGACTGATGAGTCCGACGAGCTACCATCAATTTCGTTAAGCTTGCTCAGCTAATCTGTACGTTTCCTCTTTTGATTATTTTATCAATTGTTATCCGCGACGTCTGAATCTTTTAATTCGTTTTTTCATTCTCAGTGGAGCGTATCATGATATCATCGTAGTTCGTAGAAGGAATAATGAATCGGGACCCTAGACGTGGCTCAATTGATTGAGGGAATTTCAGTGGGGTCCAACCGTCCAAATCGTGTGGTTTGGTTTGGCTTTTTTTTCATTTTTTTTTTTTTTTTTTGAACAAGGTCTTGACTCTTGAGTCTAGATATATGCGTCAACCGGGTCTTTGGAGGAATTAAAATTGGACCTTTTACCTTGTGTATCGTGACTGTAAAATTTTGAGGAATAAAAGGACAAAAATAAAATAAAATAAGACTGTTTTCATAAAAATAAAATAAATAAGACAAATTCTTGGTCCGTATCTGTCACGTGCAACTATTAATTTGTCAATTAGTATATATCGAGGAGTGCCCTGCATAAGAATACAACAACATATTTAATATTTTTATTCATGTAAGCAGATTTAATATTAATTATTTGAATAAATGAAGAAAATTAATTTAGTGTTATTTAATTAGTTAATTTAGTTAATTTAACTTAATTAACTATGGTAAATCAATTAATTTATTAATTTAGTTAATATAATTAAATACTTAAATTACATTAATTACTCAAAATTTAAAATAAATAATTTATATAATTACAAATAATAATTTTAAAATAATTTATAAAATCTTAAAATATACATTTAATTAAGACATTTTCACAAATGTATATTAGAGTGGTTGAGGAAATTGGGGGAGGGATGGGAGGAAGTGGTTGAAATCTTGGAGAGAGATTGAGAGAAGAGAAAATGTTTTAAAAAATTAATTTGCTTATGTTCCATGGATTTCAATTGACGTTAAAGAGGTTTAGATGAAAAGGCCTCATTTGGCCCAAAAATTCTAGGCTTGGTCCTAAGTTTTGTCTTTGCATTTCGTCTAGGCCTGGCCCTACAAATTTTTAGCTCAAGCTTTGGCCCAGTACTATAGCCTAGCCCAAGCTCAAGTTAGATTCACAAATTTTAATTCAATGTATATAATTTTAGACTCGACTCCAAATTAATTCGTTACTAGTTGGAACCAGCTCTGACTCAATAAGAATTAGGACAATATATCATGAACCAAAAACTGAACTGATCCAATTGGTTTGGGCCTACCATGTTCAAGCCGACCCATTGACTAGGGATGCAGATGGATCGGATCGAATTCGAATAAGGGGTATATCTAAATCTGATCCGACACTATTAATTGTAGATCTAATTCGAAGATATGATCGGATATGATAAAACATGGGTCTAAATTCGAATCCGGTGAGGAAGTCGGATTTTCGAATCTGATCCAACTTAATTTGATTTTTTTAAAATTAATAAATTATTAAAATATAACAATATAAATATAGAAAAAAAAGACTACAAGTATCTTTTCTACTATTTCCATCATATATACATGTTTTTATAAAAATATAAATAATATAACAAATTTACAAAAATACAATATAAATAATATATTTATAATATAATTCATGATTGGGTGGAACATGCTCCGACCCAATAAGAATTGAGACAATATATCAAGAACCGAATCCAAATTGACCCAATTGGTTTGGGTCCATTAGGTCTAATCCGAACCATTGACAACCCAAGAGAGAGAGAGGTAATAAATGAAAAGTATAAAGAGAGTAATAACAAATTTGTGGCAATATTGTAATTACATGTTGATAGCACTCTTGTAATTACATGAAAACTTAATGTCATATGCATAACTAAAAAAGAAACAATAATTGCTTCCAATGGCCATTTTGTAATTAATAAAAAATTCAAAGAGATAAACAATGATACTTTTGTAATTAGTAAAAAATTCAAGAAAATAAATAATGGCTCTTTTGTAATTAGAAAATGCTCGTAAATATCATACATTGGTTTTTACACAAGAGTTAATGAAAAATGGTGGTTTAATAAGGCGATATTGAATTTTACACTTTGATTTTTACACATGCATCTTTCATCGGATTTTACATGCATGTATCTCCCATTGGGTTTTACATGTTAGTTTTTACATTTATCTTTGGGTTTTACATTTAAATTTTCACATGAATTGAGCATGTAAACACCAACAGAGAAGAGTCCAAAGATTCCATTTAATGAATTCTAAGGGCTCTTGTTGTACACCATTTACTTGTTCATATATACATAATGAAAACAAAGTTCTTGAGATAGCCTCTCCTTTTATCTTCTCCAACTAAGGCTTCTTTGTTGGTTGTTTCTCTTCAAAAAATATCATTTCTAGGTAAATTTCTTAAATTGCTTTTATGGTTTAGCTAATTGACTAATTTTAACCTTATTATTTACATATTGTCTTAGGATACCCCTAAATTGTCTGACAATTGTCTACTTTTTTTCTTTTCCCAGAGATGGGATTGTATACGGGGGTACCATTACCATCCCTGAATAATGCCCTTAACACACTGCTATTGTATATCCATCCCTGAAATTGTCATCTCATTCCATCGATGCTTTCCCACATAGATCAATGCTCTTGGCTGCACTCCTCCCTTAAATCAAATATCAATCGAGGGTGAAAAATTCCCTTTCAAATCTAATATTAATGATGCCTTCTTCATTACTCATTCATGGTGATGAAGAAGTAACAATTTATGTTGGAACTCGAAGCATCACAAAAGAAGACAAACTAGGAGAACCCATTAGTTTGTTTTTTGTATTTGTTGGTTTATAAAACCTCTTATCGGATTCAACAATGAGAAAATGAGTAATTTTAGAAGTTGATAACAGAAACCAACGGAGGAGTGTCAACATAGAAAAAGACTATCATTGAAATCCCAACATCCCAATTGGAATAAAAAGGTATCTATCCATTTCTTTTAGGGTTTTTTTTTTTTAATTTCTTGTTGGCACATCCTTTCCCCCATCCAAACCCCACAACCCGCACCCCTGTTCTAGTGTTTTCGCCTGTAACTGACCATCGGAATCATAAGAGTAGTAGAGCTCAAAGAGCTCTTGTAATTCCAACACGAGCACATGTGGCATGTTGTGGTCAAGCACATCCGGCTCTCCGGCGTTGCCCATGTGGTTGTCATCTATCGAGCTACTTGAATTCGAAGACGCATCATTGATCTAGAATTTGGATCCAGAGATATTGTAGTTGAAAGTTGAATTCTAGTGAGAATTTTGAGTCTCTGCCTGAGTATTTATTTGAAAGGAAGAAAGACAGTGAAGATGAAGGAGGAGGAGGAGGAGGAAGAGAGTGAGAGGGATAAAGGGTAAAATTGGACTTTAAAAAAGTATACGTCACATGTGTACGAGTTTTGATGGAATATTAATGGATGCTAATGGTAAGGGTAGAGATAGTCAATTGTCGGAAACAATAGGGATAGAGTTAGACAATAGTCAAACAATAGGGGTATACTTAGTTAATTAGCTAAACCATAAGGGTAATTTAAAAAATTTCATCTCATCATTCTTGTTGTTTTGAGTTTCCATCTACTTCCTAGAGAATGCACCTTACACCAACTTCACAACATATTTCAATCATGCATTTGGAACATTTCCATACTCATAAATTTTAATTCATTGGGAGATCTTCTTAATACATGATTGAAATCTGATCTGAGGTGCATTCTATGAAGAGTAGATCCAAACTCTAATTTCCTATGATCTCTCTCTCTCTCTTCATGACCCCAATTAATGCCCATGTGAAAAAAAAAATAATTGCCAATTACTTATTCCTCTTACAATCAAGCAATATGATTTGGACCATATTCATTTGCTCGGCCCCTTCCTTATACTCTATGCTAAACCAGTTATTTTCCTATGTATTGCTTTATTAGGGGAATGAAGCTCCTGCTGCAAGTCCTAACAGTGGCTGTCTATTGCACATCTGAAAGTCTAGGAACTCAAAGTTGTTTAACAATGGGGAGAGCTCACCTAGCAAAGTGATCCAAGATCATTGTTTTAAAAGGCTTAAGCCTTAAGGCATGATGCGCCTGACTTGAGGTGAGGCACACATGTTTTGATGTGAAGCTTGAATCTTTGTCAAAATGAGGTGTAAGCCTCAAGCCTCAAGGTGCAAGGCATAGCCTAAGGCATAAAAAGACAAAAGCCTTGAGTATTAATGATTACTTAGTGATTTAATGCAAATAATATACATTTTTATAATTTAAAGTATATAAAAAAGACACTTTAATAATTATAGCAAAATAAAAAAGTAAAAAAGAAAACCAATAAGGAAAATTAAATTCTATTAATTTTTTTTTAGTGTTTTAAGAGAGTTCAATGCAAAAATGACTTGTCAAATTATTAGTTTATTTTGGAAAATCAAATGAGATTTTTCTTATTATTCTAAATGTAATGTTCTAAGTTTGTTATTTTTCTCATTTCTTAATGATCTTTTTAATTTTAATAATAATAATCTTATTATTATTAAAGATCAAATAATCTAAGTTGTTTCCTTTCTCCTAAATTACTTTTGAAATGTAAAATATTTATAATTATTAGTTAATTAGTTATTATTTTATTTAATGTTTAAATGCCAAAACTTTTTCTTATATACTTTTTTTTTATATAAAATAGAGAGGCTTACGAATTAGAGTTTCTATCGGTTACAAGACCATACACATCAAATAAGCATATAAAGTACAATTTTACATCAAGGAGGCTCAACATGACCGACCTCTTAGTTTGTCAATAATGAGTTTTGAGTCGCCTTTTAATAGTAAAATGGAGATTAGGAAATTTTCTGGAAACTTTGTGAGCTTTCACCACAACCTATGCTTCAACTTCATTAATTGACAATTCACCAACTTCTTTACAAGAGACCCACCACGGTCTACCGTCTTCATTTCTCAAAATGACCCCAATAACACATTTCCCATCACTATTCTTTGATGCATCAAAATTGATTTTAAAGGTTCCATGGTCTGGTTTTTTCCAACCAATATTGCAATCTTTACAATGACTAATA